GAAGATAACGCAAAAAATTCATTAAATTATGAAGCGCTGTTGTACTCAAGTACCAAAATTACATTAAACTGATGAATTTTTCTCAATTAAGTTTCAGTTGTAGTAACAAAATAAGATAAATAATATTTCGTTCTTTCATTTGTTATTAGCACTTATTCTGAATATTAAAAACAAATTTACATCTCCTAATTTCTTGACCGAAGGTTGCGTAGAAGTTACTACTTAGTTGTAAGCAGGTGCGAAGTGGTAATTCGTCGGGAATAGTGCAATTACGCGTAACTAGCATTTGATTATGAGTTTCAATTTCGGTAATTTAATGTCCAAATAAAATCCGTGTATATGTCCTGGCAACCAAATCAGCGTGATTTACGGGAATCTATTATAATCAGGCCGTAGACAATACTAATTAATGCTTACTGTGCAAAAATGAAAGCCGTAGCCATTGAAATAACAAAGTAATAACGTTAAATTCCTCTCCTATGAAATTTAGTTTAGTGCAGATACGCGCCTTTTACCAATACTACATACGCGGAATTGCACTATCCCCGACGAATTACACGTGGAATAACAAAACGATGCCACTTTCGCTAGTAGTGTCGTGCCGTGTGTTTGTATCAGAGACATATTCAAACGCGTCAAATGTCAATCTCAAGTCACAAAATAAATACCTACCAATAAATGGACGTCGGGTGCGCGCTAAAAAGTGTCCGCACCTGTAGGGCGTTAAAATCGCATATTGAGCGTCAATCGCGCAACAGTCTTCTTTTGTTCGACTGACAGCGCGGTTGTCAATCATGCAGTACCAATAATAATAACTTGTAAAAATTACTGCAGTAAAGTGTAAAAACAGGATTTTGTATCATATTTTCTAAACAAATATATTGTGCTTTATCATAGTTCCCATTTAAAAGTGTTATTTTGTACAGTTTTATAATATTTAATTTATATATAAATGAATCGTAAATACAAATTACAAAACCACACTAAATAATCAAATAGCTAACTGTCCTTTTCTACATATTGCATGCGCAAAAGATGGACAGAGACCCATTACGTCAGTTTCAAGAAGCTTATAAATTTCTTGGTCATTTTCAATTGTTCGAACCACAAGCGATTGAAATATTTAGAACAAAGAAACTATAGAGTTGCTTTGATGATAATTTTAATTAAAATAATTTTTTTTATTAAACGTTACCAATAACTAATAAAATATTGTTGTACTCGTTTTACGGCTTGGGATTACCTATCAGAAGTCAGAAAATACATTTGCCCGAATTAACATTAGCTCGAACTTTCATAATGTCAAATGAATTGTTTTAGGAAGATTACAAAACAAAAGCTAATTTTGTCTTTGTGAAAAGCATCGAAATTACTCGAAAGCGTAACGTAACGGATATTTGAGTTTACGTTTAGTTGGAATATCGGTACATTTCTTAGTAGTAGTATTTAACTACTAATTACTGTAGTAATATTTGTATGTATCTGCCCAACTCTTTATTATTATCTTTAAGTGAATTTATACAAAATTCGATATAATAGTATATATAAAAATTAAATAATATTTACGACAAAGGCTACTCCATTACTCTTGTGTTCAAGTAATTTTCAGTCGAAGCTAAATATGGTGCATTTTGTTAAGTTTCCAGTAGAAGCTGAATGTGGTGTTTTTGGGCCCTTAAATTGTTGCAAGCAAAATTAGGCAGTACTGCAATGACGTTACAATTTAAATTAAATGTTTTAGTTTTTTTTATATTTCGGTACATGTCACTACGTTTGTATAGGTTAACTTCGGACATTTTTTTAGTGGTTTTTGTATTAGACCCGATGTCCATTTGTTGGTAGGTCCAATGCACTTTCCCAAAGATGTTTTCGTGTTTATTTGATTTTCACACCGTTTGTTATTTTTAATCAAAAATTAAAAAGACAAAACTATGAATTAGCATGGATAATTATCGGATTAATGCTTAATTATTATTATAAATAAAATAAAATAAATTATAAAGAAAATAAATATCTCGAATATAAAGTTATACGGCCGCTTGATCTACTTACATTAGCATTTAAAGGTGCCTACAGAGACGATCGACATTGTCGATCGACAACGAGAGTTATAGACGTTTCCGAGTTCTTTGGGAGTGCTTATTAATAATGTGGCATTAATTTCTAAATCCAAGATGGTTGCCAAGAATTTTCAAAAATTTATTTTTGGTAAGCCATTAATACATGATGGCTGACACGACTTTTAGTATTTCTAAATGCCAGATGGCGGGATTTCTCAAATAATGGCAAGTTGGGTATCATTTTCGAGATACTTGGGGGTACTCATTACGAATATAACACTTATTTGTAAAAGCAAGATGGCGGACACGATTTTTCAAAAAATGCAATATGGGTATCATTTTCGAGGTATTTGGGGGTGCTCATTACGAATATAGCACTTATTAGTAAATCCAAGATGGCGGACGTGATTATTTTAAAAATGCAATATGGGTATTGTTTTCGAGGCATTTGGAGGTGCTCATTACGAATAATAGCACTCATTTCTCAATCCAAGATGGCGGGCACGGTTTTTTTGATAATGACAAGATAGGTATCGTTTTCGAGGTATTTGGGGATGCTTTCATATTGTATATGGCAATCATTTCTGAATCCAAGACGGCGGGCACGATTTTTCGAATAAAGTAAAGTTGGGTATTGTTTTCGAGGTATTTGGGGGTGCTCATTACGAATATAGCACTTATTTGTAAGTCCAAGATGGCGGACACGATTTTTCAAAAAAACGCAATATGGGTACTCTTTTCGAGGTATTTGGGGATGCTCATTACAAATATGGCACTCATTTCTACATCCAAGATGGCGGGGACGATTTTTCGAATAGTGGCAAGCTGGGTATCGTTTTCGAGGTATTTGGGGGTGCTCATTACGAATACTCCTACTGCTTTTATTTGAATTGTCGTGTCTGCCATCTTGGATTTAGAAATAAATGCCATTTTCTTAATGAGCACCCCGAAATACCTCGAAAATGATATCCACATTGTTTTATTTCAAAAGTCATGTACGCCATCTTGGATTACAAATAAATGTTCGTAATTCGTAATTCGTAATGAGCTCCCCCAAATACCTTAAAAATGATACCCAACATACCAATATTTGAAAAATCGTGTCCACCATCTTGGATTTAGAATAGGTGCTGTATTCGTAATGAGCACTCCCAAATATCTCGAAAACGATACCCAACTTGTCATTATGCGAAGAATCGTGTACGCCATCTTGGATTTAGAAATAAGTGCCATTTTCGTATTGAGCATCCCCAAATACCTTGCAAAGAATACCCATATTGCATTTTAAAAAATCGTGTCCGCCATCTTTAATTTAAAAATAAGTGCCATATTCGCAATGAGCATCCCCAAATACCTCGAAAAGGATACACATATTGCATTTTTTTGACAAATCGTGTCCGCCATCTTGGATTTACAAATAAGTTCTATATTCGTAATGAGCACCTCCAAATATCTCGAAAACGCTACCCAACATGCCGTTATTTGAGAAATCGTGCCCGCCATTTTGCATTTAGAAATGCGAAAAGTCGTGTCAGCCATCATGTATTCAGATATAAATGCCATTTCCAGAACCATCTTGGATTTAGAAATTAATGCCACATTCTCAATAAGCACTCCCAAACAACTCGAAAACGTCTATAATTCTCGTTCAATGTCGATTATGTCTGTAGGCTCCTAATCGACATTATCGATCGACAATGACGATCGACAGTAACGATCGACATTTGCAGGCACCTTAAGTGATATGATATGATTACATTAATCTTTGTTACCACAGTATTTTTTTATGTATAGTAAAGAACATCACATTCATAAAAGGTTTGTTTGTTACTCTTCCAGTGTGGGACAATTTTAATTAGATTTATTGCATAAATTGGTAATTTTGGTGTAATAATATGGTACAATCGTTATTTACATAATAATAATTATTACGGTAATTTTGGTAAATTGAAATTGTTTTCTGTTATACATTTTGAGACTTTCAAGGGTTTTCACCAAATAATTATCATGACTTCACGAGTTACTTGTCTCTTCTGTAGTATGCCTTCGTATTATCTCGATATTTCTGAACGGTTACAGGACAGGCTCCGTGGTCACGGGTTGACTGGCCAACGGAGATTTAAATGTCTAATAACAGATATATCTGTCTACCCTCGTCTCAATTTCTTGCGGCGTTACCATTGTCACCACAGACAGTATATGTCTGTGATTGTCACTAACATTTCACTACATACTCACTATATGTTTTTACTGCTGTTGTAAGCACTAAGCACCGAATTCTATGCACTGGAAATATCAAGTAGTGATGTGAGCATTACTGCGTTTCGCGTCGAGTCGGGAAGCACGATTTGAATTTTGAATTTTGTCTATGTTTAGTGCCTTGCGTTTTAAAAATTAATTATTGCGAAGTAACCATCACAACAATTCATTATCTATTATTAATAAATAAAGAAAACATTCCAAACTTATTTATTAACGCCTCCTGTTATACGTTACTATAGTATTTTAGTAAATTAGATGAATAACCAAATCACTGATTTTCATAACACTGGTTAGCCTAGGGTATACAGGGCTCCTTGTGCAGATCCTGACCGGGCACGGCTGCTTCGGTCACTACCTGCACAAGGTGGCGAGGAGGGAGGCGTCCCCGTCGTGCCACGAGTGCGGCGCCGTGGATGACACCGCGCAGCACACCCTCGAGGTGTGTTGCCGGTGGATCGAGCGGCGCCGCACTCTGGTGGCGACAATAGGGAGGGAGCTCTCGCTGCCCAGCGTGGTCGCGGCCATGCTGCGGGACGAGAGGTCCTGGGACGCGGTGGCCTCCTTTTGCGTGGAAGTGATGACGCAAAAGGAGGCGGCGGAGCGGGAGCGCGAGGACGCGCCTGACGCACCCCCGCTCCGGCGCAGACGGGCGGGAAGGAGGCGGCGGCAATTTGCCGCTCAACTCCTTCCCCACTGAGGCCAGCGGACAGGGACTAGGGCCCCCTGTTCGCATTGCACGGCCTCAATCGTCTGGGGAGAGGGGCGGAGAAAACCGATCCTCTCCTCCATAGGCGCGGGAGCCCCGGCATAGTGGCCGGGGCGGCTGGGCGGCGTCGTGGTGAAATAGAGATGATTCCACGGCGCCGGCACAAACCCGGCGAGAGGCAAACCGATGGGATTTAGTGGGTACACCCCTGGGTCCATGCTAGACCCAGGAGCAGAGCCCTTTTCAGGGCGCCGGGACTCCCACATAACCTCCGAGCCGCCCGGGCTCGGGGGTATCCATAAAGGATTCCCCACCGTTACCAAAAAAAAAAAAAAAGGATATACAGGGCTACCGTCCGAGAGTCCTACATACCGCTCGCTGTTCTCCTGAGCCGAAAGGTATGAGTTACGTATTTCCCAGTGATAAAAAAGGTAGTAAGCCAAGGGACAGATTACCTAACTAATTGTATTGTACATTTTAGTAGTACGAAATGTTTCATAAGGGACTTAAATGAATTATTATTGTTATGAAATTGGTATATAGTGTATGTGTGGTGTACATATAGATAAAATCATCATAGGGTCTATTAGTCACAGATGCATTTTTATAGCGTGTTTACGCTAGATCGACAGTTCGCGCAGGAGAGCGACCAGTGCCTACACAGTGTAATTACCGAGTCGTTTAACGATCGTAAGTCGATGCCAAATAGCGTGTTTACACTAGGTCAATTGGTTGCCTTCGCTTGCCTGCCGAAACTGGCAGACTACCCAGTGTAAATACTTCTCTCCTCTCCCTCCTCCCTCTAAATAAATTTCGACGTGTAGGCCAGGCAATAACTACCTCCTATAGGATATGTTGTGTTTCTATGTGTAAAGTTGTATTTATAATGATTTAGTCATTTCGGCGAAGGTGACAGTCACAAATTAGAAAGGTATGTGGCAATTGACGTGCTGTTTACATCGAATTGACTGCGCTGCCTTCACTCGGTGTAAACAGCGAGTTGATGCGCCTGCATCGGCAAAGCGAAATAGTCAAGCGACGGCGGCTACCGACCCCGTGTAAACACACCATTAGCAAGATTAAATAAATCGTCAAACATTATGACATTAATTATGAATGTTTACGTACATGTACTGTGTTGTTAACAACGCGCACACAAGTTTTAGAAAACCTTTTATACACGAATATCGCTCGTCAGTATGACAGGGCACGAGAGAGCTCTCACAGGGGCGATTAAAATCTCTCACGGATTATAAGGGTCTCCTCCTAAATGCGATGGACAATACGCTCAGATAAAACTCAACGAGATTTCGTGAAATACACGAGCAGATACGTAGGTAATGTTTGTGAATTTCTGATGTCGTTTGTTGGTGCAATAGAGGGAGAAGAATTTATTATTCATAATTTGGCTGATGCGATTGTCTATGTAATTTTATATATCGATTTATTCTGATTGAAGCATTCTTCGTGTATCATATAAATATTTACAAAGTGATTATTCTAACGAAGTTACTGACAAATCTGATTAGGTACTAGTAATTAAAACATAAGTACAAGTTGTTAAAAGTCATATGCTTGGTGGAATCTTAATGGAAGTTGTAAGCGTACTGGTGAAACTACTTTATGCCTCTGGATGACGGGTGCAGTGGCAATGCCCCTCAGATTTTTGGGATTAAATCTGTAAGTGGCACTGCTGTCATAGGCAGATGTTTTGCTTATTAGGCGCATGACTTGCTCATCTGGTCATTTGATATCGTGAAGAAAAAATTAAGTTAATAACTATCTATGTGGCCGAACGGTTACCATGCCGGACTGCCACGCGGAGGTCCCAGCTTCGATTCCCGGGCCGAGTGAAATATTTGTTATTATTTCTCGTGAGTTTGGGTGTAATTTGTGGTTTGTGGTTGTGTGGTGTGTGTGCGTTATTTATATTTATGTATATTTGGTCTATGTGCGTGTCCATGGCACCCGCGATACAGGTTTCCTAGTGCGGGGCTATGTTTGCGTTAAAAATAAATATCAAAACGTCTTGTTCAAGGTATTTAGTTGTTTCAAAGATCATTCAGTCACGTCTATGGAAGTACGTTCCAAGATGTTTGCAAGTGAAGATGTGATCATCTCCGTCTTATCGTTCGTTTGTTGAACACAAATTGCTAAGGCGCGGTCTTGAGCTGTTTGTATCAACGATTCTAAATGAAATTCGCTAGATCATCTGACTCATTTCAAATAGTGACTGCCGTTGACTACAATACACCAATTCCCGCAATGATATGATGACAAAATCCTTTATAATGGCGTCTTAGCTGTCCAGTTTTCATAAACGCCTTCTTTGCTGACGGGGATATTGCAAATTGGTTGAACCGACACCGGACAAGCTGCGGACAGAGTGAGTAATGAACCAAACGCCCAGCTGACTCATTCGGAGGTCATTAGGATACCTGCGAACTACTATAGATGTATTATACAAAAACCCTAACACGTAAATTTTAGTTTTGTGAACATCTTCTTACGGTTAATATTTAGAATACATTAGGTAATGGTGCGGTAATAATATGCTAGACAACCACACCAATTATCTGGTCTTAAACTAGGGAATTCGCTGTGCTAAGAGTACCAAAGCAAAAGAATTCACTTCGGGGCACCGTCCAGGACGTCTAGACCACAAATTGGTCCTAGCGGGAATCTTTCGGTTAGCGAGGTCGTCAAAATTGACTATACATAGTTTATCCTTCTAAGACCCAGCGAAGTACAATGGGAAAAGCGGTAAACGCCCAATGGACATTAAAATATACTAAATATATTTACTTGCTTTAGGCCCAAGTAAGTAAATATGTGCTCAGTTTTGAATGAAAGGCATATTTTTCTCGATACCCAAGGACATATAGGTCATAATGCTAAATTTTAATGCGATATTTTTCATTAGAATTAACACTGGGCGTCTACTTCAAAATAGGAATGATATTGTCTAATCACGTCCCATTTTGAAATATACCTACATGTAGGTACACGGGGCCTTGGCAGGTTAAAGCTGTTAGTTGAACTACTGACTTTTCCGTTTGAATTTTGATCGGTTTTATATTTATTATTATTGTTGGAGGTTGGCACTGCAATCTTAAAATTTGTTGTCGAATTTCGTTGACAATGATGATTATACATAGAGCCCACTTACACAAACAAAATTTAAAAGTAATTACAACATTTGAAAATGGAACTCTTTGGCTGTAGAATACAGTTTGTTTCATCTGACTGTCACTTGTTTTTACATTGTGACGTCATTTTAGAAATTGGTTGTCTACAACACCATGGATTTGACTCGTGAAAATTTTTGTAGTATGATTTTCTACGACTTTAAGTGTAATTTAACAGCTCAGCGGAGCTTCGCTCGACTTGAAACTGCTTTTGGCGATGAAGCACAGACGACTATTTATAGCTGGTTTGAGTTGGTTTGAATTCAAACGCGGTCTTGTGAATCTCAGTGACGAATTTCGTGATGGTCGCTGTGAACAACAAAAACATCGATCCTGTGTGCCATATGACCAAAACAGACAAGCATGTGATATACCATGAGATTCAGGCATCTTTAGGCATAGGCATGAGTCAAATACAATCATTAGTATAAAAACATTTGGGTGTGAAAAAGCTGTGCTCTCGGTGGATCCCACACAATTTGACTGAGACTCAAGAAACGGATCGCGTCACTTAGAGCAATGCCATGCTTACGAAATTCAACAAAGGGGCGCCAAATTTGGCGTGGGATATAGTAACAGGTGACGCAACATGGATTTACAGCTACAATCCCAAAACAAAGCAGCAATCGAGCGTACGGGTATTTCGCGATGAGTTGAAAACCAACCAAAGTGGCGCGCATGCAAAGTGCCTCTAAGCGGATGATTGCTTCTTTTTTTAATAAAATTTGACACGTGGCTACTGTTCATTTGAAGAGTCGTTGTACCGTGGATAGTGATTGGTACACGACCATTTGTTTGCCGGAAGTTATTGACAAAGTCCGTAAAAATAACCGTAAACGCCCTATCATCTTGCACTACGATAATGCCAGTTCTCACACGGCCAGACAGACAATAGAATTTTTGAAGGTGAACAACGTTGACCTTATGAGCCATCCTGCGTACAGCCCCAACCTGGCACCTTGTGACTTTTATTTATTTCCAAAAATTAAGAACTAGTTACGCGGTCAACGATTTTCATCACCTGAAGAAGCTGTCGAAGAGTATGAAAAATATGTTTCAGAGATTGTCACGGAAGAGTGGCATAAATGTTTTCAAAATTGGTTCATTCGTATGAAAAAGTGCATTAACGCTAACGGAGAATATTTTGAGAAACAATAAATTCATTTCTGCCCATTTATAGTATTTTTTTCTTATTCAATCCGAAAACTTATAGTGCGCCTCACGTATGCGGTATAATCGTTTCAGCCAATATATATATAAAAACAAATATAAGAAAAAGTCATTTGAAGCCCTCCAAGCAATATAAATTTTCCCATATTTTTCACAAATTTCCATCTTTTATGAGTGAATGGTATAACGAACTGGTTTCCGTCTCAAAGTTATAGCCTATTACGTGTCTGAAATCATCGTTAGGAGATCTTGATTTATTGAATAAAAAACTTCTCAAGAATATTCATACACAATTATACAAGAATCCGTCCGATTATATTACGAAATTTATAAATAAAAGCGATCATCTATGTAGTTCATTCCACAAAATAGTAGCTTATTCATATTTGCTCAAGCCGAAGTGTCTGTTGTGCCACTCGATAATTTTTAGTGTTTTAAAATAAATATAAATAGACAACTTCCTCCTGTCCATATCGCTGGGTGGGCTCCACAAAGAAAAATACATGTTGTGCACATGTATTTTTTTTCCACTCTCCCCTATCAGCCATCATTTTTATACTCACACCTTTCTTATCCATGTCATCTTTCACAGAATCCATCCATCTTTTCTTTGACCTTCCTTTTCCCTTATATCACTCCACATTCATACCTAACACTCTTCTCGTCTCATGACATACTTCTCTTTGCATGACATGTAATACCACAGTAGCCTATTACTCCTCATCATTTTCCGTCAATGGCGCCACTTTCAAACTCATCCCTTAATTTATCATATCTCGTCACTCCACACATCCATTTAAACATTCGCATTTCCGCTGCTTGCACAGTTCGTTCATCCTCTCTTTTCATCGCCCAATATTCTGATCCATACAGTTCGACAGGTCTAATCACGGTCTTAAATACTTTAGCCTGAAGCCTTTAGCTTAAGAGGCATTCGCCGGTAGCAAATAGTGCATAAAAAATATAAGACAACATCATAATATTAGACAAACATACGTTGCTCTGATCCTAAAGTAACTTAAAGTAAA